TTTTTTTTTTTTTTTTTTTTTTCTACATCACTCATAGCCTATTCCTTTTTCCTTATCTTCAATAATTATGAATAGTCTCATTTCGCTAACAAATTGCCTAGTTTGAAATGATCATTTCCATTGGTTTTTGCATCTAAAATCTGCGCTATTGCTATGCTTGTCGCTCGTTTCAATCTACAATTATTGTATCTTTCTGGTTGAGCAATCATTATATTATATTATATATATATATATATATTCCTTTTTTTATGTACATGGTGGGTCTTCTTATTGACCTGGGTTACATGAACAACATAATGGGTTTCGCTATCTATTTTTTCTCTTTTGTGGGCAAATTTCAGATATTAGAAAAAACACAAGGATTTTTGCTGAGGCTGATTGCGAGCTGTGAGTGGATGTTTCAATTCATGCTCCAAAATTCGATAGGGAGTAATTATGATATTTGAAAACACTCGAGTATTTTTCTTTTCAATTGTTATGAACTTATTCACGTTATAAACATTCTGGTATGCCTGATAGGAATTGAATTGCGAAACTAGGAAATGAGATGAGATATACCTATTTGAAGTGTATACAAATGAATTTTGGATGCCTGAAAACAAAAATGATAGTATTTTATATGTTTGAATGAGAAATGTACTGATATTATTTCGCTAACTCCAAAATTTGTTTTATATTATAATTATTTGACGAAAAGACAGCCTGATGAGTTATAAGGGAAGAGAAGGAAACAATTTCTAGATTGAGAAATGGATGAATCAGTTGTTGAATGATATGATGTGGATTGTGGATTTGAGTTTCTACTCTCTTGTTCCTTATTTTGTCAGGAAAGTTGCTTGTCTGCAATTTTGTTCATAGACTTGTCCTTAACCTAATTCCCTAAATTGAATGTTTAATATGATTAATATAGAATTGTTTCCTTCCAGTTATGGATTTATTTATTTCTCATGATATTCCAAACCTCAAATTTGAATTCAAAAGTTGGTGTGATGCTGAATGTTTTTCTCCGAAAATTTAGAGGTTCCTCTACTTGTAGCTTTATCGATGTTGAATTCTTAAATGGCAGTGTTGAATGCTGTTTCATTTGAGGTTTTTGTAACTTAATAAATTTAACTCAGCAATTGATACTTATTTGTTGCTTACTTATTGCCACATGCGCAACAGATGCATTCCTTTTAGGCTGATAGAGGACAGCGATGAAGTTCATGACCAGTGTGATATCGAGAACAAAATTGAAGTTCTCATGGTTTCTTCTCCAAATCGTGATGACCTAGTGTTTCCGAAGGTTTATATTCTATCCATTCTTGGTTGAAGGAGTTGGCAAGAAATACCCGTGTCCTATATTTCAATGTTTCTCTTTGTTTTGGTTTGTAGGGTGGATGGGAGGATGATGAGACCATCCTGGAAGCAGCATGTCGTGAAGCCGTGGAAGAAGCAGGAGTGAGAGGAAAGCTCAATGTAGGTTTATATATTGCCCCTTTGTGGAAATTGATAATCTTACATGTTTTCTTCACAAATATCAAACAATATGTGTCAAGGTTGTAGAACCTTTCAGATGCTTGTTGATGGGTTGCTGTAGGAGCCAAGTCTAGGAATAGTTTTGTAACGACCCAAGCCCACCGCTAGGAGATATTGTCCTCTTTGGACTTTCCCTTTCGGGCTTCCCCTCAAGTTTTTTAAAACGCGTCTGCTAGGGAGAGGTTTCCACACTCT